GCTCATAATTTACTCATTACTACTTGTATTCTGTCTTACTTTGTGGTCTATTTGATATACTTAACGTGTCTAAATCGATTACAGAAAAAAAACAATCTAGAATATCCTATTGTTTCTATTCAAAAATGTTTCAATAAATAATATTAGAAGATAAAATCGAAAAATATTTTCTCATTATAGAAAATTAAGATGGAATTGATCGGTATTTCTTCATAAACTAACTATATGTAATATGAATTTGAAAAAGTTTCAACACATTACTATATTTTTTATTGAAGTAAATCTAATTCAGATCAATAACGAAACTATTTCGATGAAACAAAAAATAGTTTTTTCAATGATGTAAAATGATGAATTATTTTCAATGTCATATAAGAATAGTTATCAATATATTTATTTTTGACTTTTATGGAACAAAAACCTTTCGAATGAATTCTTAGCTATTTTCGTAATTGATTTATCATTTGGAAATTTGTCTTTTTCGAAGTGTTTCGAAGGAATCTCATACCTTTGATGCATTATTCTAGCACTTTTATCACAAACACTCTACACTTATGACATTAAAATGTGATCCATGAAAATGTTGAGTGTTTTTAGGAATAATGAATGAGTGAGATTGAACGTATAAATACGTTCCTCACTTCAATATCAATAATCTCCGTAAACACTTATTTCAAAAGCATGTTGAACTTGATTTTAATGTTCAACAACATCATTTGTGTTCGTATGTTAGATTACGTAAATCAAAATATGATTGTTATACAGTAGGAAAAAAAAACAAAAATAACAGTATTGAATTTTATTATTAAATGTGCTGTGTGATTTTCTACAGAGAAAAATGTGTACAATATAAGCTATACAAAAAGAGAAGTTTAGAACAGATCAGTACATATATATGTCTAAATTAAAATTATTCTTCCGTAAAAACTTTCTATAATACATAATTGAATTTTTATATCATCTTCGTAATCATCAACTCTATTTTTTTTTACTATTGATTCGGCTTATATAAATGGTAAAAACAGTATAATATTAATTGATACAAATTTAATGTATCCAATTGATTCGTCTATTCATTTTTATCAAAATTCTCATTGATAAACAAAAATATTAGTAGAAAAGTAAAAAAAAAATTCTAATAAAGAAAACTAATTCAATGAGATAAATCTTTTAATATTCAACGAACGCATCTACTAAATCCTTAAAGCATTTAGGTATGAGCTAACAAGAAGAGCTCATCAGATTTACACTCCTCTGTTATCTTCTGTATTACAATTAAATATTAAATAAAACAAAATATAGATAAAGAAGAAAAGTAAAAAGATTGCCTTCGAGCAAAAGCAGTAAATGATTCATTCGATTCATTCTCAAAAAAAAAATTTACACGCACAACTTTCAACAGTATTTATCAGATCATAATTATACAAAAAATTACAAGTTTTAAATCTCTAATCGAAATGTATTTTTCCTGTAAACGAACTTTCTCAGTTATTCTTTTCTAACAGTAAAAAGGCCAAATATGGTTCCTATTTCATAAGTAAAAAGCAAAACAACTAGAATCTTTTATTCAAACTGATATTTTTGTTACTAATAAATTGTCTATATTCATGTTGAAGAACAACAGTGTAGTGTCAGACTCAACAAGATATATAAAGAGGTTAATATTAAAACAACATTCACTGAAATACTGATAAAGAATTCGTCTATTTGTGAATTTTACCAAAAGACTCGTTGTTGAACTTTACAAAAAATCTTTTATTAAAAGCTTTTTTTATTAGTAGAAATTTCTCATAAAAATTATAAGGACGATATCATTTACTCGAAAGAGATTTGCAATTTTCTTTAAATCTCTTCTATGTCTCATAGATTCACTTATACTTTCAAGCACAACAAAAAACCATGTATATATGTCTAATGAGAAAAAAAAATGTGATTCATTAATTTATTTATTATTACTACTGAGATTTCTTTTATAGACTCAAATAATTAATCTAAACATAATTTTATTTATGAAAATTCTGAGATATTTTTCAATGAACTCACAATAAAACTCTATATCTCACAAATACTCGATAAAAATATCAATTATCTTTAGAAAATCATAGAAAACGAATATTCGTCAGAATATGAATTTATCCTTAACGAGAAAATATTCCAATAAGTTATTCAGCATGTTTTCTTTTTTTTTTTTAGTGTAACGCCTCACTCTACACCTATAATCGAAATACAGAATACACCAACAACTGTATAATGGGGGATCTGAATAAAAACAAAATATACAATTTCTCAAGCAACTATAGTTTAATCATTTTCTAATAAAAAACCAACATTGAATTTCTTATAAAAACTTAAATATCTACACTGAAAACAAAATGAAATTGTTGTATCTGCCGAATAATTTTTATACAAGAGAAATATAATGAGAAATACATGAAGACATTCATTAAATGCTCTACTGCTATCGTTATTGTCTCTCTTAGAAAATACTTCATTTCATTCTAATTAAATGACATTACTTCATAGAGAGTACTTTGTCAGGTAACTAAAAACAGTTACCACTTTCATTTCTACAATGTCAAAATACTCATTAATAATTCAATTAAGAAAGTGGAACATATAAAGGCAATAACATTTATTATATCTAAACGAAAAATGCCTCTTTTTTGTACTAATACTTTGTCTAATATACAGTTTCATATAAAAATCTAGAAATAATATTACTTTTACATTACAGTTGTTTATTCAAAATGTTTATAATGATGAATTTTGTTTTCATCGATAAATCTTGAAAATTTAAAGAGTACAAATATGATATACTCTATCATCAGGAGACTATTTTGAGATGAATTCATAGCTGTTTATATATTCATTACTATATCGATGAATACGACAAAATAAGTGAATACACATCATTCATAGTTTGTTATGTACAAGTTGATACATTCTGGACGAAAATTAGGTAAATCCTGAGAAGCACTATATTCCAATGAAAATAATTTGAAATGAAAGAAATTCATCAATCTTAAATGTGTAGAAATTTCAATTTTTGCACAACGAACATTTCTTTAAAGAAAAGTCGAAAAACTACACGTGAAAAAAGTTCACGCAAAAATTTCTCAAAAATTTCTCAAATACATATATATTGAAGATAATGAAGACGTTCAATAAAAAATATATTGTTCAGTAGAGAGACAAACTCTATCTGATTCTATATAATTTAGACATGTATATATATTTCAGACATTCTTAAAATAAAGATAACATTTTGTAAAAACAAAACACGCTTATTTTTTAAGTTACTCGAGTTGATGAATTCTCTTGTTTTATATTTTTATTTGAAGACGAGCAATGTGAAAGAGAAAGACAACACCCTCTATATATATGTAACATGAAAATATTTTTTCGTCGACGACGATATGATATAGATGTATATCAGACGAGAAAAAAAATCATCAAATCAATTAAAACAGAAGTGGAATGATTGATAAAAAATCAATCAAAATTTTGAACATCGGTCAATTAATCTCAGGGTATATAAAAACATGTATACATCATTATGAAATCATACACTCGAGTTGTATTATTATAATGTATTACCATGTATTTATATACCCGGGTTTATTATTATTATTATGATATTATTTACAATAACAATGATATTGTTTACAATGATAATGATATTATTAAATTCTATATGAGGTAAATAATAAATTCATTATATATTTAATAATACTATTTTTTCTTTTTTTTAGATGAGTTTCGATATTACACAATATTGAGAAGCAAGAAAAAATTTTTTTTACATATTCAGTTGAGTTGAGTTGAGATAAGTTATTTTGAGAAAAAATAAATACTATCAGTTATTATGAGTATGAGTACTTTTGAGATGAGTTGAGTTATGAGTGTTATTAGTGTGAGTCAGAGAACTACGTTGTCTGATTCAATAGGAACAGGAACTTTCGTGCCATAGCGAAGCAGTGTAGTGCTAGGGAAGGCCTCTATGTGTCGTTGGTCCCTACCATTCATACGGTATACCTTCGGCCATTGCCCTACCAGTCCGGCGTGGTCCGCCTGTGGTACCTATGGCATTGACAAGGGATCTCTCCCTTGTCGCGCGCGCGTGAATAAGCCAAAATGAACCGAGAAAAATCGAAACGATTAGCAATGTGAATAAATTTATTAAGAAAATAAAACAACAATTAGATTTTCTTTCTTACATTGTCAATCGCGTTTCTCACCGATTGAATATGAGGATGGGTAGGTGGAAGTGATATTTTAAAGATAGAAAGTGCCTTTTCTAAAAAGGAAAGTGCCTCCGAATATTTATGCATCTTCTCATTTATCGAGCCGAAGTGCCAGTACGACATAGCCAAATCGGGATGATTCGAAGGCAGAGCTTTTTCTCTTATATTAAGTGCTTTTTCGTGAAATTCAAGTGCTTTCGAGTAGTCATCCATGTCGTCATACACTCCACCGATGTTGTTGTAGGAAGTAGCCAAATCGGGATGATTCGAAGGCAGAGCTTTTTCGTCGATTTTAAGCGCTTTTTCGTAAAACTCAAGTGCTTTCGAGTAGTCACCCATGTTGTTATACACTTGACCGATGTTGTTGTAGGAAGTAGCCGAATCGGGATGATTCGGAGGCAGAGCTTTTTTCGTGATTTCGAGATCTTTTTCGTAAAATTCAAGTGCTTTCGAGTAGTCACCCATCTTGTCATACATTTGTCCGATGTTGTTGTAGGAAGTAGCCAAATCGGGATGATTCGGAGGCAGAGCTTTTTTCGTGATTTCGAGATCTTTTTCGTAAAATTCAAGTGCTTTCGAGTAGTCACCCATGTTGTTATACACCAAACCGATGTTGTTGTAGGAAGAAGCCAATGAGGGATGATTCGAAGGCAGAGCTTTTTTCGTGATTTCGAGATCTTTTTCGTGAAATTCAAGTGCTTTCAAGTAGTCACCCATGTTGTTATACACTTGACCGATGCTATTGTAGGAAGTAGCCAATGAGGGATGATTCGGAGGCAGAGCTTTTTCGTAGATTTGATGTGATTTTTCGTAAAATTCAAGTGCTTTCGAGTAGTCACCCATGTTGTTATACACTTCACCGATGCTATTGTAGGAAGTAGCCAATGAGGGATGATTCGGAGGCAGAGCTTTTTCTTTTATTTTATGTGCTTTTTCGTAAAATTCAAGTGCTTTCAAGTAGTCACCCATGTTGTGATACACTTGACCGATGCATGTGTAGGAAGCAGCCAAATGAGGATGATTCGAAGGCAGAGCTTTTTCGAAGATTTTATGTGCTTTTTCGTAAAATTCAAGTGCTTTCAAGTAGTCACCCATGTTGTGATACACTTGACCGATGCATGTGTAGGAAGTAGCCAAATGAGGATGATTCGAAGGCAGAGCTTTTTCGAAGATTTGATGTGCTTTTTCGTTAAATTCAAGTGCTTTCAAGTAGTCACCCATGTTGTTATACACTTGACCGATGTTGCCATATGAAATAGCCAAATCGGGATGATTCGGAGGCAGAGCTTTTTCCATGATTTCGAGATCTTTTTCGTAAAATTCAAGTGCTTTCGAGTAGTCTCCTTTGCCGGAATACGCCATACCAATGTTGTTGTAGGAAGTAGCCAAATCGGGATGATTGGGAGACAGAGCTTTTTCTTTTATTTTATGTGCTTTTTCGTAAAATTCAAGTGCTTTCGAGTAGTCACCCATGTAGTAATACACCGCACCGATGTTGTTGTAGGATTGAGCCAAACCGGGATGATTCGGAGGCAGAGCTTTTTCTCTTATTTTAAGTGATTTTTCGTAAAATTCAAGTGCTTTCGAGTAGTCACCCATCTTGTCATACATTTGTCCGATGTTGTTGTAGGAAGTAGCCAATGAGGGATGATTGGGAGACAGAGCTTTTTCTTTTATTTTATGTGCTTTTTCGTAAAATTCAAGTGCTTTCGAGTAGTCACCCATGTTGTTATACACTTGACCGATGCATGTGTAGGAAGTAGCCAAATGAGGATGATTCGAAGGCAGAGCTTTTTCGTAGATTTGATGTGATGTTTCGTAAAATTCAAGTGCTTTTGAGTGGTTACCCATATTCTGATACACTTGACCGATGTTGCCGTAGGAAGTAGCCAATGAGGGATGATTCGGAGGCAGAGTTTTTTCGAAGATTTGACGTGATTTTTCGTAAAATTCAAGTGCATTCGAGTAGTCACCCATGTGGTAATACACTGCACCGATGTTGTTGTAGGAGCTAGCCAAATGAGGATGATTCGGAGGCAGAGCTTTTTCGTCGATTTTATGTGATTTTTCGTGAAATTCAAGTGCTTTCGAGTAGTCACCCATGTTGTTATACACTGAACCGATGTTGTTGTAAGAAATAGCCAATTCGGGATGATTCGGAGGTAGAGCTTTTTTCGTGATTTCGAGATCTTTTTCGTAAAATTCAAGTGCTTTCGAGTAGTCACTCATGTGGTAATACACCAAACCGATGCTGTTGTAGGAAGTAGCCAAATCGGGATGATTCGGAGGCAGAGCTTTTTCTCTTATTTTAAGTGATTTTTCGTAAAATTCAAGTGCTTTCGAGTAGTCACCCATGTTTTTATATGCGTGACCGATATTGTTGTAGGAAGTAGCCAAGAAGGGATGATCTTCCGAAAGAGTTCTTCGACAGATTTCGAGAGACATTTCGTAAAATGAAGCTGCTTCTTTGTGTTGTCCTTGGTCTTGTTTCACCGATCCAAGCTGGTTATAGATATGTGATTTATCGCTGTCGTTAGAAGCCTGTTCTAGTAGTGGCATGTATAATTCTTCAGCCTTGTCAAATTGACTTATTTTGAGCAGCAATTTACCCATTCGATCCCATGCGGTGCCATCGACCTCTTCTCGTATGTGACCGGTTAACTGACGGAGTTGTTGGTCATCATCAGATGTAAGTTTAAGGTCCACTTCATAAAGTGGACTTTCCTTGTCAATTTTTCGGACTTCACTAATTCGAAAGACGGTGTGCATCGAGAAGAGAATTTCCTCTTCGTCCTTGAAATAACTCACCTCCTGGATGGAGGCGAAAGGAGTCGATGAGACAGTAGGATCTATTGTCATTTGGAAGAGAATACCGACCATATCGGTTGCTTCTGAGTTGCTTTCGGCAAAAGCGAAGGAGACATCACGATCTGTACTGGTGGATAAAAAATTATTGAAAGATATGAGACCATCTTTGTTCTTTGCAAGTTTTTCGAAGTCATCTGTCGATAATCCTTGACCCCTATAAACTAGAAAGGACTTTCCATGATACTGACTGAGCTGCTGGCTGTGTAAGTCTTCAATTTGTCGATGAACATCACACAGGAAAAATCCCATTCGGATGATAATGTCGCCATCCAATGTTCTTAATGCTCGATTGAGCATGTTGAACGTGAAGCATTGGCGTGTATACCACCATAACGCCAATGTTGGATGATAATTACGTCGAAATTCATTGATTAATTTGAGTTCGTTAGTATTGCCTTCGTATTGTTCTTGGCAATATGTGACCAAGTCTTTTATGGCTTCTTGGTCATGTTCCATGTCAAGGAGTATTTCCTTGAATATTTGAGTATACATGAATGATGGTTCTAGCTGATTGAGATTTTCGCTAGAACCATCTGTATCAGCACTAATTATACTGACCACTGTATTATTTTGATTGCATTGCTTGACAGCTATTTGCAATGCTTCGCATATGGAATTTATTGTTTTGTGGATGCCTTTAATTTTTGTCCAATGCTTAGCCCATTCTTTATGATATTCCGTGTTGCGACAAAAGATATATATAGTATTAAGATTTCGCATTCCATGAATAGATGGTAGAAGAACTTGTCCAAGTTTGCCAGTGGAGATAATGAAAGATGTCTCCTCCTTGTTTTCGTTGAGCAATGCAATGCATTCTTCTGCTGTAATGCACAATTTGACTTCATTAACAATATCTCGTAATTGCGACAGTGTATGTCGGCAATCTTCATTTTCCATATTGATATTCGCATCAACCCATATGACTAAATAGTTTTCAGTCATACGTTGTTATCGTTGTCGACTCATTTTCAATGTATTGGTGAATAATGTGTATGAACAGAATTTACCTTTCGTATTTATATATTCGATGCATGTTGTTTTTTTTCTAGATTTTTCTACGACGTCAAATGTTAATATTTTATTTTTTCGCCGATACTCAATAACAACCTATGTCTAGTATCAATCAAAGGTATGCTTGTCAAAAAAGAAGAAATTAAAGGGAAAAACCCATCAACGTCATTTATGGTATGATTATTTTTTACTACTTGCATTTACGTTTCATGTGAAGCGCAACATAAGTTTCATTTTATTGATATCTCTTCTCATACGTTGTATATATTTTTTTCGATTCTTTCAAAACCAAACTTTTTTCTCTTGCTGAGAAGAACGAAGAAAAGCAAGGACATCGTCTGTGTGTTTTTTTTCTCATTATGCATACGATTGACATGTTGATAATGTGAATCAAACAAGAATAAACATCATTTTAGTTTTTATATAGGCAAAGGTTAAACAATAATATCTAGTTGCCGAATATACTAAATCACTGACAATCTAATTAAAACAATTCTTTTATTCATGTTCATTCGAAAAAATATATATATAATAAAACGATATTTTGTTTTCGTATTTTACAATAACTGTCCCTCTTTCATTAATTTCTAAGATTCATAAAGAAATAATATTCAACTTGTGTCTATTCACACAATTTTAACAAATGCTACAATGGTAACAGGAAAACTTCTCCTATCCAAACATGTATCACTAGGACTATGTGTATTATAAATGTATATCAATTGAAACCATAGTACAAAACATGTTTTAATTGAAAATTATTTCTGCGTGTATGATTGTAAAACAGAGTCATACATGCTCGTATACAATCAAGAAATAATGAAAAGAGTTGCTGATATTTTTCTAACTAAAATCAGTAGGAATATGGCAGACATGAAGACTGTTTTTCTTGATTTAAAAATGAGAAAAAAAACCATTGTTATTGTATTGTATGTTTGATATCTTTTTTTGAAATGCAAAACTGTCTTCCTCATATAAAAAGCGTTGGTTGGAAGGTTGAATTAATAATTCTTTTGAGTTTCTTCTGAAGATGCAACCGATTCAGAAAAGATCAATCAACAAAGAAAAAGTCACAAAATTATTTTTATTATTGTTGTCGTTGTTTTTTTCTTTCATTCGTGCCTGTACGATGAATAAAAATGTGACGATAAAATATGTAAACAAAGAACTATTGAAGAAACGTAATATTACGTTTTTTTTACTCTCATTTTAGTCTCAATTGCATTATATTCATTTCATTTTTCTACATGGTCATTGATTCATATGCAATTAACGTCATGAAAATCTATCTGTAGGTTATATATGCTTAGCATAATAATAAAAAGACTATAAAATCGAACGAATATTCAAGAACTGGTTCTCTAGAGCTGACATTTATTATCTTATGAAAGAATATTTAAAAACTTTTCCTAATGTAAATAAAGCTTTTTCTAAAAGCTTTCTTAGTTTTGAAATTGTTTAACTTGCAAAATTGAAGAAAATCTTAATGAAAAATAGTTTGCTAAAAAATGGAACAAAGTGATTTCATAAACTTAGACTTACAAAAGAGAAATTATTTATCTCTAGCATCTACATTTTGCTTTGAGGCTAGATTGATGATGACAAAGTTGATAAACTTGCATTTTTAGTTGAACATCATCAACAGACTTTATATTTGAATGAACATATGCATTTATTCGATAGAGTTTCAAATTATTCAGAGATCAGTAAAACAAAAAATGATGAACTCGCAAGTGATAGTAGATATAGATATAAAGTATCACTGAATGAAATGTTTATATCATTATTCCTAAACCAATAATTCTGAATATTAGAAGATTTTAATGAGTTACATTCTAGATATTAGTAAGACATTCTATACTTAAATATTATAGAAATGCCATAAAATATCATTTGTGAATGAAGAGTAATCTTTCTTCAAGCAAACAGATCTTCATATAATGCTTTTCATCAAGATTAATTGTAATTGTTTAGTTTCAATCTACAAATAGTTTATTTCAAAGACAATCACATAAATTTTAATGAGATTCAACAGTGACAATAAGATTTTCATGGCTCAAAGACCCATACAAAATTTTACGTTTGGGTTTGTTAAATGACTTTATCTAGATGGTATATATACATCTGTCTGTATCAAAAAATGGTATGATTATGTGTACCAATTAATAACTTTAGTTTGAATATGTAAAGATCTGTGAAAACTAGTGTCTTATATATTGAAAACTGTGAAAGTCACCCATAGTTATTCCATACAGGTAATCTATCTACGTATCAAAATGTTTAATGTTTAAAGATATGTAATACTATTTTGATTATATAATGTCATCTGAGCTTTTTTACAAGGTCGAACAACGTTAAAATGTTAATAATCATGTTAGAATTTGTTATCTATACTCTTAAATTCTAATATTGATTCAATAAAATATATTCAAATGAAGATTCTCATAAACTTTCTTATCATGTCACTTATACATTAATTGTAAAAAAAAGTGAACAAACATCGGGAAATAAAAATTCAAAAAAAATATTTATGTATCAGTATCTGCTATAGCTTAGTATATTTGAAGATTTGTTTCGTCAAAGAAATTCGTATCTATAGATAGTCTTTCATAGGTATTCATTAGACTAGGGTGTGGGTGTGGGTGGGTGTGAGTGTGAATTAAGGGATTTTCATCCCATACCCACACCCAATTCTATTATTCCAATGAAAAATATATCGAACTAACTAACAATTTGATTTATCATTTGTTTTTGGTTGAAATTTTCCTTACTTTTATGTTTTCAGGAGAAGAAAGCAAAGAAATAGCGGCATTCAAAGATTTATTATTTTACCATATGATAGATAAAGCCAACGAGTTTAGAATCGTTGACCGATGAATTAGTTTTGAAAATCTTCGAATATCTCAATGTCGTTAGTCTTTCCTATGCATTTTAGTTGATATTGCAACACAATTATTTGATATCACTAATGGTGTATTCATTATTTAATTTTCTACATCAATGTCGAAAGATTTCTAGCAAATGCTCCGTATTAGCCGATAAGAATTGTCTCAATGGTTATAGACGTTACATTGTCAAGGTCGTTCATTGTAGACACATTTTCTTAATAGTCGGCATGATGGCGTACAAACTTTTCTGCTGGTATTTTTCTCATGATGGGTAACTGTCCAACGGTACAAAATAAGACAAATTCCTGATGGGAATTGACTTTTGCTATCGAGTAAAATGAAAATGTTATTTTCTGTTTAAAATGTAAAATATTGGATGAACAAAAAATTCATTATTGACTCAGACAAACTTATTGAGAAAGCGAAAATTTATTAGTGATTGTTTTTTTTGATAAATGATGTGCTTTTTCCTGAAACATGTTTCAATCAAGCGAAATGAAAATAAGCTACTTCTTTCGAAATTTCTTACTTAAATCTTGTGATGGACTGTAACAAAAATAAGAAGTCTTTCCTTTGGATATTTGAAAT